TTGAAAGAGATTGACATTGACGAGAACCAAACACACTGAACCTTTGAAACTTCGCACACATGAAGTATAAAACACTACTTGCCAAACGTCCTATTTTTGTATCAGGACATTCTCGAATTACTCTGAGAGCTTCTGAAAAATATTACTAACCGAACATAATTCTCGGCCAACAATTCAGCCAGTTCAGTTTCGCCAATTCATTTTCGCTATTGTATAAATAGCGCTATCTACTGCGAAGGATCGTGCATCATACGAATTCAGCCAGTACTACGTTTTCATTCGAAATATAAAAGTCGTGAACAGCTAATCCTTTTTCAACTGCTAAAAAGACTCTTTTAAACTTTCGGAATCTTAAATATCTCCAGATTCAGTAATCAAACCATTCAGATCGTTGAAAATCCCAATTCCGCAGAAGAAAACGAATATCAAACTTGCCGCCATATCGAAAATCGTTTGTGACGTCATACTGGCGGTACTCCCTCTCGCAGCCCCCCTTTAATTTCGTGCGACTATTTGGGACCATAAGAAATCAAGACGGTGAACGCAAAGTAAAAAACATCCATTAATTATCTTCTCTAAATAAACAGCATACGAACACGCGCAGATCTGGAAGATATTCATGGTGTAAATCTTTTCAAGTGCAAGATACTCCATTTACCAGTCCCTCTCCCTGCAGAAATACGAGCCCGCTGATTCATTGAAAAGGGCAGCGGAATAACACCCCACGCAATCAGACGTAGCTATGCTTGCACTTTTTAAAGGGAAGAGGAAAACGTTTCGTTGAAGCTGGTTAACACGGTTTACGTAACCACAGAGACTTTGGGGTGCTGATCAGGTTTATTTTTTTCTGTTACCCAACAAAAACCTTCCGACCCCTCCCCCATTCGGCCCCCCCCGGGTTAAATAATGACCGGTCCCCCTTATATTTTCACACAGAGGAAGGGAGCTTCAATAATACTTTCAAGCTTACTTTGTACCGAAAATACTTAAGAGTGAATTGCATATAGTTTCGATCCTCTCACTTCTACGATAGACTTTTCCGTTCAAATCTGTTGTTTGCGTGATCATTTGTCAGCAAGCGACTTCCATCATAGCTTTCGAAATTTTCCCGAGTTTCAAGAATCTGTTTTGCACGCGCACCCCACGTCATTTGATATTTTCATCAAATCACATCCAGAGATCTTGAATTTTGAATCTGATTTAGAGTGAACACTTGATGTTGAGGTGATGGAGAAACACTTTTAATAGAGTCTAGCTTCGCCCTCGAGCGAGTGACGAACAAAAAATCACTTACAACCGCTCTTACGACGAAGGCATTTAAACTAGCTGTGAATCGAATTAAAGCTTAAAATTTTAATATCTTATTTCTATACATAATTGCTTGGTCTGTTTAATTTTTATTTTTTATATCTTCGAAGATATTAGCATAGCTGTTTGCTATCTGTAATTCGAAGTTAAGGAGGCTCGAAAGGGTTTTCCACAATTAATAGCAAGTGCCAATCAGTAAAAGATATCAGGAGTGTCAAACTTATCATCAGGATAATGACTTGACATATGCATAACACTATGTTAGGGCAATCTTTTAAGGGGGTTCGTCAGGCATTATCTGTTGCCATGGCAACAGTACAGTAGTGCTTAAAGACCCTCTAAAACTCTTTTTGAAAGATATCTAAAAAACCAAGTCGGTGACCTAGATTTTTTTTTTCAAAGTTCTTAAATATCATCACATTCCCTAACTGTATACGTGATATTAAAAAAACTATTTGGTAGAACTTGAATTATCGATGAAAGAAATAACGATGGTGGCAAGGCATTCAGTGTTGACGCAGTTAAGTTATGGAACAGCCTTCCCCATGATATCAAAAATAAGCCTAGTATAAAACTATTCAAAACAGCTGTGAAAAAGCATTTTATAAGCTCATATAAAAACCTGGACAACTTTGAAACAATATTAAGCAATAGCACATTATCTAATTTTAATTTTTTATAAATTAATTTTATCTTTCTGAATATTTTTAATATATCCTGCTATTTCTATCATAGAATTTTGTAATTATTTATATATTTATTTATTTATCAGTTTTTTGTAATGCTGTATAATCTAGTTNGATGGTATCTTGTCGCTGTTCTGAGAAGATGGCTGGATCGAAGGCCTCATTCGGCGATGCACATTTACCATGATTGACCGATATAATTGTTCATGTGCAATTTGAAGTGGAAGAGTGAAAAAAATTTGGAGTGAAAAGAATTTGCTTTGACGTCTTTCAGATTGACACGAGCGTCAAACTCAGCGGAAATTAGGGTTTCATATACATCAGCAATTTGTTGCTCGTTACAGACTTCGCGAATTTCTATAATTTTCGAGGTACAAGAGGTATGAACAAGCTTTGGCTTCATTTTTCTTTTTTTTTCTCTTTGCGACTGTCATAACCGTGAACTTTCATTATTCCGTTTAATTGGAAAACGAAACAAATTTTGCAATCCTTTCTTAATTAACAAATGCGAGTTTGCATTTTCGTAGTTGTAATTTACAGTTTATCAAGGGAAATATCAACAATCTTTCTCACAAGTTAAAGATGAATATTTTATTTTAATTTTACCGTCTGTGGTTGAATTAGAATTAAATTCTCATCTACATTTCTACGATCTCTTGTTTACTGAAAATTATTCGCTCCGACGAAGGGCTAACGCTCGAAACGTCAGCTTTTGTAATCGTTACGGTGGCCAGTTCACCATTTCAACTTTGTTGATATATCCAAATTATCCTGAAGATTATGTTTATTTTTATGGCAACATTTACACTTCTCCATTTCCGTTAATAAAACTGTCAATGTTTACAATCCTGGTTCCAACAATGATTTCATTTTCCTTTTCATCTTCCAGTGAGTCGTTTAGGAAAGTTTTCGGTCATTTCGTTTTATTAGGAATCAAATTCAATGCGAAACAAATCGTAGCACTCAGAGTTATCGACTTAAATTTTCGCTGAACAAAGTAAGATCTACCGAATGCACTCGACGCGATTTTATTATTGATGGGGTGTCGACTTCACCATCCTCCTTTCGCTCGTTAAATAAAATTTTTTTTGACCACCTTCGGCAAGAATCCTGCCATCCGAAAATTTTCCTACCTGCCTTCAAGAAGTAAACTTTCCATTTTTGTTTCTCAAACAACCACTTCCGCTGGAAACAATAGAGGTGCCGGCAATTTTGAAACGCTCATGGCGGCCATGTTTGTTTACAACTCGCCCGCGGATCTGATCACGCGCGCTATCGCTTATTTCTCTCGTGAGCAATTAGCTTGCGTGTATCTTGGAATCCATTCTCTGCGCGGTCGAAAAAAACCCTTTCGAGTCTCCTTAAGGTGGCTCGTACTAGTTTCCTCGCGCGGGGAACAGGTCACTCTTGCGTGACGCGCGCGAGAGAAACGTGCGAAAGAAGCCCGAGAACAAAAGATGAAAACTCAAAACAAAGATC